GTCAACCTATACTGTGCCAGCGCCTCAGTGCACATTGCGTTGTAGCCAGCCTCGACCGCGATAGCCCGCGTGATCATTTCAAACGTCGAATTTCAACGAGTACGGACATCAGGAATGAGCTTGAGTTTGGGACAGCCTTCGTTGTTCAAGGTACGCAGGAACTTCTGTAAGCGTTGCGGTGACGATCTAAGGTAATAGATCAAAACCTGTTAATCACTTGAAAAATAGTTTAATGCTTAATTAACTGATGACTACCTTATCTTGGTAACGCCTCTTCGTAGTTTGACCAGCACATTAGAGTTGGTAGGCATTTGTTCTTCGTCGTCGTCAACGATTTCTTCTTCTGGTGCCTGTGCTGAAAGACCAACTCGCAGGATATCCTGAACTGCCAAGTTAAGGACGTGTCCAACACAAGGGATATGATGGATGTCTTTGCGGAATGGCCTTGGTTTTATAAGTTGTTGGTGAGCACATAGTTTTTTATGAGTATCTTGGCAAAGCAGCATAATCCCAGTAACTTACCAATCTTTCTCTTTCGCGCGTCGTTCGATTACGGTCATCATCTTGGTCATATTCGATGCGTTGTCACTCGTAATTGTGAAAAGCCTCGAACAAAGATCGAACTCATCTAAGACTTTCAAGAAGGCGTCGGCAAGGTTCTCTCCAGTATGTGGACCTTCCAAAGGCTGGAACCCTAGGCGAACTTCTTGCAGAGTCCACGTCGATCTGCACATCCAGTGTGCTGTCACACCAAGAAATTCTTGCCGGAATGGGCTGGTCCAGCTGTCGACGGTGCAAGAAATTTTTGGCACGCTCTTGAGCAAGGCGGCGGTTTGTTCTTTGGCTCTGACGTATTCTTCGTCCAGCTATTTCAGTGAAAGTTAAGTATATGTCTGAATCCTTGTTTAACAAAACATGAAACGAAGTTTACCTTTCTCGACATACTGTCAGCATTCAAAAGCTTGACGGATTCTTGCGTAGGTGCTGATTGTGCCATGTAGAACAACTCCTGCAATTCTTCGCTTTCGGCCAAAGTAAATGGGAGCTTGCTCTTGACCAAAAATTTGACGAATTGTCGTTGGAAGGCGCCCTTTTCAAACGTACGCTTACGCTTAAATTCGACATGCTGGTCCATTGGGCCGGCTTGGCGCTTGTTCCCCTGAACGTGCGGACCAGTTGTTTGCGTGATTCGATGGACATTCTTCAGGTGCTTCACAAGCCCAGACGTATTACCTTGCTTTGCGTCGTACACCTTGTTGCAACCAGGCCGCTGGCACTTGATTTTCGGTTGACCGTTGATAGAGACGCGTTTGCCGTATTCATGAGTGAGAACCCAGCTGCTTACTGACTGCTTTTCTTTACCGCTCGTGTCAATGTTCGCGCCGTCACCGGCAAGCTGTGTGATTTCTTGGTGGTCGATCATGGAAGCGGAATCATCGAAGCACTCTTCATCAGTGTCCATTACATGCGAACCGACTGACGCCATGGAGACGTTGGATTGATCACGGGCTAGGGAAGGAGGAACAAAACTTGATAACGAACGACTTGTGTTGGATAAGGACGAATTACGGCTGGACTCTCTCTATAAAATGGTACTATCATCAGCTGGTTGCAGGTGATATTGCATATGATGGAGTATCCTAGATTAATCTTACGCGATCAGAAAGAGCACCACGAGCGTCGTCAGAGCTGGAGCCAACTGAGTAGTTTGGGTAGGTCATTGCGTTGGATGTGATATAAAAAGGTACGGATATAGAGTAGAATGGTTCAAGCTGTATGTAAGTAAATAGTTGAGTTATTTTGCCCAAAAATAAAGTTGTTGCTTTTATACTTTCCATGACGCGTTGAGGATAATGATACCAAACGGCAGCTTCTCTTCAAATAGTGCTAAGTAATACCTCGCCTGTCATTTCCGTAAAAGGAAGTTTGTAGAAGTCAGCAGCATGCTGAGCTGTACCACTGCTGAGTGCGCGATTTTTGCTTTCAGTGTTCTTCCTTTAATCGTTCGTGTCCATTCGTTACTAGCAGTATAAGTATAATTAGCACTGCTGAGCACGCAGCGTTTAATGCTGCGAACCAAACCAAAGGCACGTCAAAATTCTCTTCTCAGCAATCTGTACACACGTCATTACACAATTGATACAGCAATCTTTTTTCCGGCATTCTCTGAAATTCCCCCACCAGATCAGCGATTAGAACACATTTCATACTTTAATTCAACAATCAACCACGCACGGTCATACTGTATATCCACAATTGAAATAAAACACATTTTCTATTCACAAATTTCGCTATGCACTACAATAATTACGCCTTCCCTTCGATTCACGCGATTATCATTGTAATCTTGTGTAATTCCATCCCTCTTGAAATTGCAGTTGAAGAACTCGGTTCTACTCTCGGTTCTCGGGTCGGTTCTCGGGCCGGGTCGAGTCGGTTCTGATGTACATTGTGCTCGGGACGGTTCTGGCAGAGAACCGTCCCGGCCCGGCCCGTGAGGACCCTTACTATGCACTCTCTATTACTTCCTTACCTGCACATAAGCGTCACCACCACAGAGCTATCAGAAAAAACCAGCTTTGCTACGATTATCTCTATCATATGCTTCCCATCCGCATCTATAAAACAACGGGATATTGCTATGTCTGGATCCTTGTCGTACTAATGACTTGCTTGAAGCACCTCTTACATATAATCCGCACGTTCTTTTCACCGCTGTTGCTCGTCGTAAAGACATGGTAGAGACACCAGACCATCATCGTCACGCCAGTCAACTCGTCCTTATTCTACTGCAGTAAACGGTTCGTTATTTGGAGTACTGGATGGTGAGATATCGTCGTGCGTGAATCGCTCCTTTTTTTGGCTGACTTTGGTGTATATATATGATCCACTATAAAATGCACGCGTACCGTTCATGGCTGTTGCTCGTTGACATGATATGGTAGAGACATCAGACCACCAGCGTCACGTTCGCCTGCTCGTCCTTATTCTGGCAAACTAAGCGGCTCGTTATTTGGAGTACTGGATAGTGAGATATCGTCATGCAGGAATTGCTGCCTTTTTGTTTTGCCAGTTTACCTGAGAAATAAAAAGAATAGACACGTACCGCCATGGCTGATGCCCCTTGTAGAAAGTTAATGGCATATACTCGACGTTTTCACCTTGTTATTCGCAACCTCGTATACCGTAAAAAAGAAAAGCGGCCTGTACTGTGCAGGCTGGTGCAAGGTTTGCTGCTTTATGTTGTGGTCATGCTGTGATGCAGGCAAGTCAATGGTATTGTAATTAACTTTGCCCGTTATTATTATCGGGTGCCGTAGCTTCCGTTTGTTGTAACAGTTGTTGCTGTAGTGCTGCTATTGCTACTGGAGTACGTTGCCGCACTCGTCAAATGTCTATAGTTTCAGCAATTGCTAGTAATAAAAGACAGTAGACCATTGACCATTACAAAGCCACGATTCTTCCAGCAAATGAACATCCCTTGAATAAGATACCTTTTTTTTGTAAGCGTCCTTGCTTTAATATATATTAAAAAAACGGGCAGCAAGCGAGTGTGCTATAGAAGAACAAAAAAAAGTAAAAAAAAGAGGAGCTGGTTCTCCTGCTATTTTGCTGTCTTGCTCATCACGTTCTGGTAATTTGATTGGCTAAATCCCGGGGTCAGTCCGGGGTCATTCGTCGCCACTTGAATTGAAATGTCGGGGTCATCGGGGTCACTCATTTTCGCTGTGGCGACTTCGTCGCCACACCGAAAATGATTCTAGGCCCCTAAACCCGTTGCGCTTACACGCCCTTCTTTTCAGCCTATCGAGTGCCTTAATGCCCCACAATGTCCTATGTTCATCAGTAACGTAGCTGCTGGACATCTGGCCAATGCAGCAGTAAGATCTGTTGGATCGCTTGAACAAAGTGGTTGCAACTGTGTGTGTAAGCAAGAAGCCTACGTAACTGCGGAAATGCTGCTGTTCCTGTTTTTTTTCACAAGCATCTGAACTCACAACTACAAGCTCTAACGACGACGTATTCGATACAACTTGATGCTGATGTTCTCTTTTCAATGATTCCACTCTCAACTGGGGAAATGCAGTGTCTCTTAGTCAGGAAATACACAGACCGGTCATTTTTATTCTATAGTATCTCCTTCATCATTATAGCAACAGCGGATATTTCACTCATCAGCTTCCACTAAGTGAAGTTTCATATACTAATATGCAACAGAACCGCAGATACCACATTTGCTAATGTATTTTCAAGCTTGAAGCATATGGAGCTGTTTTTGCATATCAAACGACAACAGAATCTCATTTCATGAAATACCAGTTTATTAAAGCATGCTAATACTATACACTCAAAAAATGCTATTGTTTCCTTACCTGAAGATAACCACCACTTCCACACCGCAATAAAAAAAGGAACCAGCTTTGCTATCTTTATATCCTTGGTATCCTTCTCTTCCTCACCTGTGTAATAATGAGATACCACCATGCCTGGATCCTTGTACTAGTACTCATTTGCTTGAAGCCGCTCTTGCTCTAAAAATAATCCGCACACTCCTTTCACCTCTGTTGCTCGTTGACATGACGTGCTAGAAACACCAAACTGCCATCGTCGCCTTTGTCCGCACGTCCTTATCCAGCCGCTGTAAACCAATGGTTATTTATATTATTCCATGGTGAGATATCGTCGTGTGTGAATCGCAACTTTTTAGCTGAATTTGGCGTATATAGATGATCCACTATATAATACACGTGTACCATTGCTGCTCGTGCTCGTGGATAAGAGTTGCTAGAGACACCGGACCCGTATCGTCGCGTTTGTCAGCCCGTCCTTATTTTTTTTCTGTCACAGTAAACGGAACGTTAATTGGAGTACTCAATGGTGATATATAGCCGTGTGCGAATAGCTGCTTTTTTTTGCCAGTTTGCCTAATTAAAAAGAATAGACACTTACGGTCAAAAGAAGAAAACCGGCCTTAACTTTGCGGACTGCTGCAAGTTTTACTGTGCTTGTGTTGTTGTCATGTCGAGATACTCGCAGGTCATTCAACTGGCAATTTCATTATTCCAATTAGTTGTAACGGCAGAGATGTTGCGTCCGTTTGTTGTAAAGTTTGTTGCTAGAGTGCTGCTGTTGCTGCTGATGTATGTTGCTGCTCTCGTCAATAACAATGCTGCGGCAGTTGTTACTACAAAGGAAAACACAATAAAAAAGTGGCCGAGTCCATCCACAGTAGGAACAAAGAATCCACTGAGACAAAGACTATGTGCTCTTTAGTATCATATACGTAAAATACAATAGCCATTCCAGTGCTGAATTTTGTAGAAAATGTTCAAAGTACCTGATGAGGGCCAAGCAAAGAAGAAAACGACGCCGGACAGAGTTGACGTTAGCAACACAGAAATAAAGAGCTTGGTCCTGGGATCATAAGATCATAGCAAAATGAAGGACAGAGACCAGGCCGTTGTCAGAGATGCAATTCATTTGAGGGCCGTTCAAAGGTGTTGAAAAAAAAGTGCGAGATGCGTAATATTCGAGTGTTGAGAATAAAGAAAGCGTATAGGACAAGTGTTGCTCGAGTGGTGACTGAAAGGAACGTGAGATGCGGCAAAGCTGAATTCAATGGAGCGTGTGTGAGTTGGCAATTGAGCAGGTCCAGTGTTGGAATGGCGGCGAGCAGTACGTAATAAAAAAAACAAGTAGAGCAAAAAGAAGTAATAAAAAGTGAAAGAGCGAAAGAGATGCAGAAGAGACCTTTCGTAAAATAAAATTTTTCTTTGGGGAGCGCTGCACCTTCGGCTTTACCAAACGCGGTGCTTATCGGTCGCCCCTTTTCGCCTTGCCTTGCCGTTTTCCCACGTTCCTTCTGCCTCTGCCTTGCCATCGTTTTTTTTTTCATCTGAGCTTGTCATCGATACTTCTTTGCTAATCCCTTTTTAGAAAATTTTGGTCATCGCCTCTGGTCATCGTGCACCCTTTTGGAAATTTTTGGTCATCGCTCCTATCTCCACTGGTCATCGCCCCTAGTCATCGCCTCCCCCTTTCGGTCACTGCTGGTCATCGCCTCTGGTCATCGCCTCTCCCTTTCGGTCACCACCAGGCCTTCCCTCTAGTCTTCTGGTCATCGCCTTCCCCCCGTTCTTGCAAATGCTCCCCCCCACCACTGTTTCCTTTTGGGAAAAATCTAGTCAAATAAAGTTTTGGTCACTGTTTGGTCACTGTCATTTCACTTTTCCCTGCTTAGATGTGTCCGACATAGGTTTATGATCATTGAATGAGCTTGCCCAATTGTTTGCTAATGCCGATCGAGAACAAATTCGAGGTGGAAGAGTTAGATGCTGGTTTATTTATACCACGAGTGTGATGCCATCCAGTTGTTGAACGCATTGTCGCCGTCGTGCTGTGGCCTCACCCGATCCATTGGCCCTCGTTCTTACTGCTACAGTCACTGAAAAGAAAATGAGTGCATGCCTTTTTACGACGGACGTTGAATCCTTGCTTACAAACGGTTTACTGGTTTCCAATCGCTTGTCGGATAGTGTTGTGTCAAGTATCAAAAAGAGTTATAAAGTAGACCTGGGTAATTTTTGAGTAAAAGAGAAAGGCGAAAAATAGAACCAAGCATCTTTTTATATGAGCCACCACGAAATTGACTGTCTACTGCCTTTACCTCGCCCATCATGACCTTTTTACACACAACCACCTGCTTTCTATTCAAGCATCCCACCCAGCCTTTTTTTCATACAGAATACCCAAGAATAACACCCCACCTCCCACCAATACAAATAAACATATATACACAATGAACAGATACTAGTAGTATTTTTTTTTAAATTTTTTTATTACTCATATCGAGCAAAGGAAAACTCATTCTTATAAACGTCCGGCCAGGAAACGCCGTCCTTATCCCAGGCATATGCAGCACTAAGCTGCACATATGCGTCGTGGACGCGGTCGCGCTCTGCGATGGCCGCATCGCCGTCAAAACGGATGGCGCCTGTACTCTCGTCCAGAGTTGCAAACCGGCAGTCGATGGGGCGCGACTTGTTCCACCCATATTGGTGCTTGCGGCAGTGGTGGAAGGCTTGACCAGGCTTCGGGCGTGGTTGGTAGGCGCCGGTCCAGGTGTGTGCCTTCTGGGCCTTAACAAGGTCAAAGTAAGCCCTCTTGCCCTGGGCTTCCTTAGCGGCTTGGACCAGATGCTGCTGGACACCTCGGAAATTTTGCCATGCTTGTTCTTGGCGTTGTGCTTGTGTCTGCTTTCCAGGGCGCGGGACGGGGGAAGGCCAAGTGGAGAAATAGCACCCCGAGACGTCGATACTGTTGGTTGTGGTGGTTGACATAGTAGACATGGCTGACAAGAGAGAGAGAGAGAGAGCTGGTGTATGTGTGTTGTGAATTGATGGCTTCCAGCTTCAAAAAATTTTGTTCTTTTATACTAGAGTCTCACTCTGGTTTCTTACACGGCATTTTCGAGTAATTGGATCAGTTCCCTTTGTACACTTGACAAGACAGTTCCCGGGAAATTTAGCAATCGTACTTACTGTTGCGCACTGCTCTTCTTCGTACCTGACATCGTTATATCATGCTTCCATTTTCTTGTACACCCATCATGTCTGGAACTTGCTTACCACATGAATTGTTGGTACCCCCCAGCTTAAATTGGTATGTAGTAGCACAGCATGGCAACTGTCTTTGTCATACCAGATAAGTTGTTAAATGGTACCTTACTGTTGCTTTTTGAGACGTAATCTATCGTCATTACTCCTGCCTAGCTCTTTAAGACATTAAAGTTGTACCAAGGATCTACCAGGGATATTTTCTTCTTGCTGTTCGATACACGGTTTTCTCTACTGCTTGTGCATTGCCCCCATCCTGACATATTTCTTTTGGAACACTCTGTTCTTAGATTTCTCTGATGAATCCGGTTCTTTTTCTTAATGTGAGTTGTGCCTAGACACTTGCTCTTTCCAATATGACTTTTATTTTCATGTTCCTCTCTGATCTGGTGCATCCTTGAGTTGTTCCTCAACACTTACATCAGTGTTACCATGCAGAGCACCTTTTGTACAAGCCAACATTTTCCAAATATCACACAAAGCTGTATCAACATGTTCTTGTTTTTACAACATTTCTTCTGATCTTTCAGTTTCATCTGTTGCAGCCTTCAGACCGTCGCAATGTTTTTCCCATCTACCTACCGAGTAGCTGAGTGTAGTACGTCTTTTTACAATTGAAAGAGGATGCCTTTTCCTTTTGGCTACATGAGTCCATCAGCTATTAGATAGCAAAAGTACCTATATACATGAAAAACTGGGAACTCCCAATGACAGCGTCTACAAGTTACACATAACAGTTTTTAAATCAGAACATGTGTTGCAATCTTTGAGTGAAGACGTCTAATCCCCCGTGCCCCTTTTTTATGTAAATAAGATAATGATGTATCATTGATCGATATAACATCGATGCAGCCGTCGACTATAAAGTAATTACCCCACTGCAATTATTATTGCAATAATCCACTCTTTCTCATTCAGCCGCAACTCCTTTTATTTTCTCCACTATGTCACTCTTCCAACGTCAGCAGGTATCAAAGAATAACAACAATGCCACGGCTTTTAGCAACTCACTTACTGATATGATTACAATTAAGCAAAACAGCTCGAATGATAGACGCGCGGATGATTTCGCCCATATCGGCGATTCTTTTAATTCTGAGAACGGTGAAAGATACAATGTAAAATTGATGTTATCAGTGTAAAAGTCAAGTGCTAACGGATATGCAACCAATATCTGTAGGGCATCTCCAACGCCGACTTTGCGTTTCCGCCTATACATGACAACATACATCACAAAGAGAATCTAGCCGACAGAATAGTGGAGCTAGTGCCAGAAATATGTTTGCCGACACTACAGGACTTGCACCTTCAACACTACAACATAGATGCATGGGTATATATATATGCATTTCAAACAAATGCTAAACGTCACTCGGACGAAGCAATTCGCATCATAGCCAATATTGCTACTGTATGGCTGTATATGTACCACCGCCTCGCTGCTCGAAATGGTCTCAAACACATTATCAAAGGTATTATTTGTTCTGATTGTTTGATTTGGTAAACTGTTTCTTGAATACTGCTAACTTTAGTGTTAGGCCAACAAACGTACAATGTATCATTACGAAGCCTCAAAAATACTCTAAAGGGGGGCGAGCGTCTACTGTATTTGATCCACAAGTCCTCCCGTACCGAGCTGTTGTTCCACAACTCATTCAGTACTTGGAAACTGAGCAAGGTGCCTATATCCCGTTTTATTGAAACTCGAGCCACCATTGTATATTCATTCTATCTGTAGTTGACTGTATCTGAGTTTAATTCGTTCAGAATACCTCCTACTGGATCAACTGCCAAGAATGTTACTCGAGGCAGCCTACAGCTAAAAGTATTAGAGATGCAATTACGTATGTTTATAGCAAACATCCTTGGCTGGAAATAAACTATTGTCCTTGTAATTGACTGATTGCGTGGGTAGTACCATTTAGATGATTTTCCCCCCTTACTACAATACATTAAGTAGTACAATACTGTACAGCAGTAGAGCATTATATATATAAAGGAAGTTTCAAGACTGTGTTCTTTTCAAATCATTCTCACTCTACACTTGACAAATGCACAACACCACCACTTGCCACTTCTCTATCAGCCGCGCTATCGCTCGTGAGCTCTGGATCCAACTTTCCTCACTACGTAAAGACGATTTTAATCCATTGGGTATTTTTATTCATGTCCGCCTATGTGGTATGTTTTTGTTTGATATGATTTATGTTATACTTTCACATGTTATAAAGATGCATACTAATCAATCACCCTGTGCTGTATTGCCTCTAAAATATATAGGCAGCACTGTCCGACCCTCGCCTGTCACCAACACCAGCACTGCTTTGGCCTGGGAAATATCCAGGGGCTTTTGGAAAGCCTTTGATGCACTGTCGGAGCGCGAGCAGCGGATTGCCGCTGCTTACATAAATGCCCGTCTCAGCGAAGGTATACTGTCATTTTAACACACTATTAGTCTGCAGCCTTGTCATTTTGTTCTAACTCCTAGTTGCTTTTTCTTTTAAAGAGCTCCAGGCAAAACTGGCTAAGCTCTACGTAGAGACGGGAATACGCGCCGTCTGCATCGACGACAGTGAAGACGAAGACGAAGACGAAGACGAGGAGGACGAAGACGAAGACGAGGAGGATCCATTTATCTCGTTGTGTCCTTTTGCCGGTCGCCGCTGATCGGTTTTGTTTGCTTTTTTTGTTAAATAAAATTCCTTTTTCAAAAAAACACTTTTTGGTTTTGATATTTATTGGCTCACAGTATGCTGATATATTAAAAAAGAGTTCATTGTGGGATATACTTTACACTGATCGAGCAAAGGAATTTTGTGTGTCATGTCTTACAGTCAACCACTTATTTCACAACAGCGCAGTCGCACTATAAACTGCAAAAGTACCATTAAACAAGACATACCAAAAGTATACTGGCACACTTTTACCTGAGCTAAAGTAAAATACTGAAAGTCACCTGCTTTAAAAAACCTTTTTTTTTAAGGTAATGCCCTTGTACTACGTCCTTCCAAAAGCGTTTTCCATGTCATTGCGCGCCCAATAGAGCTATATACCAATCGGTGTATGCCCTGAAAAAAAAAGGTCTCGCTCTATATATAAGCTCTGCTGGAAACAAGTGATTTTATTACTTTATTTTTTCTCCAACACCCTGTATCCATACTCATGTCTGATGAACGTGAACTCGACCTTTGTGCTGCACTGAGATGGGCATTAGACAACCGTGGTACGTTTTCATGTTTTAAAAAAGCACCAGTGTAAAACAAACATTCTGTACGAAACTAATTATCTTACAGATATCGCAGATGTTATTAGAGAGGTTAGCGAGGTCTTTGACGGCAAGGGGTATAGCACCTCTATTTTTAAAAGATGGCAGCCAGTATGTATTACATCCTGTTGAATAGTAATGTCCTACAAATAAATCCTAACTTTTTTTCTTACATAGCCAGCTCCAGTCAGACAGAATAACAATGACGTGCCACAGCGCACTCTAGTAAGTGCTCACTTTATTGTTCTGCGGTATAATACAGATACGCCTCGATTAACGTCAAAGAGAAATTAGTCTCCCCTTGAAAGAGAGATACAGGAAAGGAATGATCGTCACAAGGATTTGTTTGCACGACAGGTTCGCATAGACTGGCTCAAGGAGCGTCAGGCAAGCGACGCACGGGCAGCAACATTGTCTTTGTCACTAAGAAAACGAAAGGCGGCAGATGGTAGAGCCCAGGCAGCTGAACAGAGACCAGCGACAAATGATAA